TAGGTTGCAACGCCACCTGGGAAGTTGACCCATGTTGTGGTTTGAGAATCATTTCAACAAGTGTTTTTTTTTTTAAATGTTTTTTTAAAAGTTATAATTAAACATTTTAAACAGTAATTGTGGTCGATGAGGACGATTGATTGCAGACAGTGGCGTAGTTGGGGTTGGTATCACACGGTGCGATTCGAACCCTCCTAGCTACGCCACTGAGTGTAGATATAGATACTCTATCAAATTTTAACTGGCTTGGTAACTCAAAGTTTAACTGGCTTGGTAACTCAAAGTTTAACTGGCTTGGTAACTCAAAGTTTAACTGGCTTGGTAACTCAAAGTTTAACTGGCTTGGTAACTCAAAGTTTAACTGGCTTGGTAACTCAAAGTTTAACTGGCTTGGTAACTCAAAGTTTAACTGGCTTGGTAACTCAAAGTTTAACTGGCTTGGTAACTCAAAGTTTAACTGGCTTGGTAACTCAAAGTTTAACTGGCTTGGTAACTCAAAGTTTAACTGGCTTGGTAACTCAAAGTTTAACTGGCTTGGTAACTCAAAGTTTAACTGGCTTGGTAACTCAAAGTTTAACTGGCTTGGTAACTCAAAGTTTAACTGGCTTGGTAACTCAAAGTTTAACTGGCTTGGTAACTCAAAGTTTAACTGGCTTGGTAACTCAAAGTTTAACTGGCTTGGTAACTCAAAGTTTAACTGGCTTGGTAACTCAAAGTTTAACTGGCTTGGTAACTCAAAGTTTAACTGGCTTGGTAACTCAAAGTTTAACTGGCTTGGTAACTCAAAGTTTAACTGGCTTGGTAACTCAAAGTTTAACTGGCTTGGTAACTCAAAGTTTAACTGGCTTGGTAACTCAAAGTTTAACTGGCTTGGTAACTCAAAGTTTAACTGGCTTGGTAACTCAAAGTTTAACTGGCTTGGTAACTCAAAGTTTAACTGGCTTGGTAACTCAAAGTTTAACTGGCTTGGTAACTCAAAGTTTAACTGGCTTGGTAACTCAAAGTTTAACTGGCTTGGTAACTCAAAGTTTAACTGGCTTGGTAACTCAAAGTTTAACTGGCTTGGTAACTCAAAGTTTAACTGGCTTGGTAACTCAAAGTTTAACTGGCTTGGTAACTCAAAGTTTAACTGGCTTGGTAACTCAAAGTTTAACTGGCTTGGTAACTCAAAGTTTAACTGGCTTGGTAACTCAAAGTTTAACTGGCTTGGTAACTCAAAGTTTAACTGGCTTGGTAACTCAAAGTTTAACTGGCTTGGTAACTCAAAGTTTAACTGGCTTGGTAACTCAAAGTTTAACTGGCTTGGTAACTCAAAGTTTAACTGGCTTGGTAACTCAAAGTTTAACTGGCTTGGTAACTCAAAGTTTAACTGGCTTGGTAACTCAAAGTTTAACTGGCTTGGTAACTCAAAGTTTAACATTAAAATCATCGGCTTCTTTTTTAAACCAAAAATCTTAAGAGCGTGGGCGTGTGGGTTAGAGTGAGTGTTTCTGGCGCAAACACCAAAATAATTTGATTTAAGATGGTCCTTTCGATTTTTGTTTGTTTGTTTAACATTTAACTTTGCATCTTTCTAGTTTTTGTTGAGTTTTGTGTGAATTCTATTACCCCGTTTGGAAAAAAAATGCCATTTCTTTTTTTTTTTATTGGCAATTTATTGCCTTGGGCACCCATTAGTTGGCAGGTTTTATTTCATCCGTGCAAAAAAATTAAGACATAACAACAACAAAAATTAACATCCGTGGGACAGACAGGCCGTGACAGACCGTGACAGGCCGTGACAGACCGTGACCAACCACAGATGAAGAAAAAATTATTTGGTTTTATTTATTTTTTTGTTCATCGCTTGGCTTTTACTTTCTATAAATATTTCAGGTACGACCACTCCCCCCCCCCCCCATTATCTGCTCCAGTTGGTCCCCCTTGGGCGCATGGACCGTGACATGAGAAAGACATGATGTAGACACCTTCTTTACGTTTTGGGGGCGGGGTGGAGGTGGGGGGCTGTTAACATGTCACGCCTGGTAACAGTTGACTAATGTGAAAAGTTACTTATGTTCATCAGTTACCTATTTAGAGCATTACCTAAGGTGAACAATTACTTAGGCGGAACAGTTACCTGTAGTGAACAGGTACTCAAGGCGAACATATATATTGACCATTTACCTTTAAGGTGACCCGTTACTTATAAGTAGCCCAGTTACATATATGATGACAAGTTACCTATAATTAATGTGACAATTTACCTATATGATGACCAGTTAACTATAATTATGGTGACAAGTTACACATAAGTTGACAGGTTACCTATAGCGAAAAGTAAGAGTTGACAGGTGGCAATGGTGAAGTCCACTGCGCACACTATCTTGGGGTTCTGCTCATACCAGATCGAGTGCCGACCGATGTACCAGGTCCAACCCACCTCAAACAAGCAAAAAACGCCCAGCCACAGGCAGTAGAGCGGTATGCTTGGCTCGGCCGGGCAGTCGTCGTAAAAGGCGACAGCCACGACCAGCTGTAGAGCAACAATACTCATCGTTAGATCTATGTCAATCTGGTTCATCTCATAATAGACTGGAATGGGAAATAAAAGAGAGATATAAATAGAGAGGTAAAGAGAGGGGTAAATAGAGAAAGAAAAAGAAAGATAAAGAGAGAGAGAGGGATGAAGATAGAGATACATATATACATGCAGGGCCGTGGCTAGAGGGAGCGGGGGTGCGGACCGAACCGAGTGATTCCATCTCAGGGGGTGAAACCAAATTGAAAGAACTAATCCAAATTCGTGCTTTATTAAAAGTTCAAGGTTGATGGGTCAGAAATGAGTTGACCCTATAAATATGTCAGAACAACGCCGTTTTGACCATGATTCAACGCCGATTGAAGTATTCGGTAACTTTCGTTGGTAAAACGAAAAAGCTTCACATATTACATTTTTTCGGTATTCTTGAGAGAATATTTTCCTGCTTTGCTGCATCAACCCATGGATGGGGTGTTCACATTGAACACACTGGAATTGCAGTTAAAAGACTTTCAACAACACGCTGGAGTGCTCTTCGTGTTGCTGTTAAAACAATAAACGATAAGTTTGATGAATTTGTGATCTAGGCGATCATCTTTAAAATGTGCATTCAAGAGGTCAAGTACGCGAGGTCTTTTACATTCCGTCTGTGATTTCACGTTTATCTGCTACCTTTACATTTGGGCTGATCTACTTTAGGAAGTTCATGTTAGACAGGAATATCTGCAGACTAAAGGCTTTAAACTTGACAAAGTGGTAACCAACCTAGAAGACTTAAGATTTTTTTCTGCACGAAAAGCATTGTCACTTGGTAGAACGTGCTATTGAAAGTCATTTTGAAAATAAGACCAATTTGGAATTTCGATAGAGAGAAGTTTAAGAAGAGATGGCAGAATATCAATTTATAGAGAATGGACTCTCTTTGCGAGAAGAAAACAGTAGGATGACGCATTTATACCTTTCTTTCCGAAACAGAGATCAGATCATTAGCGTTCAAGGAAGTAGCAGATATGTTTGGGGCTGTTCAACCCAAGAGTCTGCTATCAGCGAGCGAAGAAGAGTTGTTCGTTCCAAAATTAACCTCTTTCTATGATGAGTTATCAGAAAATGAACTTTTAAAAGAAATATCAGGCTTAGAAGACAGCTAAAGGCAGCTGATAATGAATTTCACAAAGTCATGGACTGGTCAGTACTTCCTGTTTTGAAATTCATAGCTGATTGGGACGTCCTAGAATCTCTACCGATTATCTCGCTGAGACTGAGAATTGTTTCTTACGATCTGTGTGTTTATGGCTACCTGTGAGCGATGCTTTTAATAACTAAGTTTCATCAATAACTATTTACGATCCACCAAGGGATAGTCAAGGCTTTCTCATCTAGCACAATGTGTTCTTTTTGTAGTTCTTCAAATATTTTTAAAAAATAATTATTATTATTTAATATATTGGCATTGGTCTGTCTTCTACAGAGAAATGTGTAGGTTATTTAAATTTTTTTTTTTAATGATAAGTAGTACATAAATACTAAATGATGAATTTTAAATGGCAATAAAAGATGCAGTGCAGCTGATAGCAGTATAACTGTAGAGAAAGCAATATTTAATTCTAAAAAATTTAAACCGGGCGATAGGATATTTCAGTGGACCAGCATTCGTTCACAATCTAATGATCGAAAACCTCTGCCCTGGGGTTTTTGAAAAAATTGTTTTTTTAAAGTTATTATTTTTTTTAATTTACAGGATATCAGCTATGTACAAATATGGGAAATTACCTGAGACAACACAATACATGTCCAGGAGATCAGCTATGTACAAATACGGGACATTACCTGAGACAACACAATATACGTCCAGGAGATCAGCTATGTACAAATATGGGACATTACCTCAGACAGCGCAATGTATGTCCAGGAGATCAGCTATGTACAAATATGGGACATTACCTGAGACAACACAATATACGTCCAGGAGATCAGCTATGTACAAATATGGGACATTACCTCAGACAGCGCAATGCATGTCCAGGAGATCAGCTATGTACAAATACGGGACATTACCTGAGACAACACAATATACGTCCAGGAGATCAGCTATGTACAAATATGGGACATTACCTCAGACAGCGCAATGTATGTCCAGGAGATCAGCTATGTACAAATATGGCACATTACCTCAGACAGTGCAATGCATGTCCAGGAGATCAGCTATGTACAAATATGGGACATTACCTGAGACAACACAATATACGTCCAGGAGATCAGCTATGTACAAATATGAGACATTACCTGAGACAACACAATGCATGTCCACAGAGTACTCCACGCCGTGGCAATGGCGGGATTAAATACAACAGTATACGCCCGTTCGGGTCCCCCCTGGTTGGTCTCGAGACGCTCTTGGACTAGAATCGGGTAATGAGATGACGGTGGGACGACATCCTTGTTCGCTGCGGGCGATGGCTCACTCCCCAAAATCCCATCACCCGACGAGTCTGTGGTTGTCACTGGCGGTACCTTGCCGCGGTTGTCCCCGGAAGCTGGTACGACTTTGTGCGCTCCATGAAACGTTTTGTACTTGACGATCTTCAGCGTGGGCAAACGGATCGGTGCCTGTGGCGTGCCATCCTGGACCGTCGGACAAGGGCCACCAAACCTGTCCGGTTGACCAGGTGTGGCGATACGGCTAAGCTCTCTTTGAGGAGCAGCAGCAGACTTGATGTCGAAATGAGTCGAGAATTTAATGACTCGGGGGAACGTTTTCTCAAACACAGTCTTCAGGACCAGCATCTGAAGCAGCAACGAATAAGCCAAGAATTTTTTTTTAAACAATAAAAATGAATGTACCAGATAAAATTGAACATTCTAACGAATTGGTCTCTTAGGGTTTAGTCAAATTGTGATCAGAATGCAATGGGAAACAAAACAAGAAGAAAACTTTGTATGTAAACAGTAAGATTTCCCAGATGTTTTTATAAGTTGGATAAAAATTAAATTGGAAGAATATGCAACGCTTATTTAATTAAATTACTAGGTCCCTTCTTGGTGACTACAATACATTTATATATATACCCACGTTGGGGTCTAAGACTCAAAATAGCCATCTTTAAAACTGAAAAGAAAACAAAACCATTACAATGTTGTATCCGCATCATGAAATAGTACAAATGGAATTACCACACACAAAAATTGAAAGACGATTGAAATATAATAAAAGGGATTGGAACACAGTACATTTTTAAAGAGTATATATTGACAAGGTGCATTTTTGTGTAGACATTAAACTACAAGTCTTTTCTTTAGACGTTAACCACTGGGGTGCAGGTGAGTCGTGGCGCGCCATTAGACTGACACTTGCTTCGTTGCTTGTTGATGGGACATAGAAATAACTGTAATCCCACACGACACCGTGTAGCCTTATTGTACGACAATGAATTTCCCAGTTGTAAGTACATGAAGGACTGCGTTTAAGCTGTGTAAAGGAAATAGGACAAGATGTGAGGAAACTTGAAATAGTTGAACATGGTATAAGGAAACTTGAAATAGTAGAACAAGGTATGAGGAAACTTGAAATAGTAGAACAAGGTATGAGGAAACTTGAAATAGTAGAGCTTGGTGTGAGAAAGCTTGAAATAGTAGAGCTTGGTGTGAGGAAACTTGAAACGGAAAAACAGGACGATCAGATAGCAACGTTTCGGCTAAGAGCCTTCCTCAGCACACAGGACAAATGAAAATACGAACTAAAACTGGAATCTTATTAAAAAAACTTCTGGCAATATCAATGGCGAATACATCACCTTGTTCTACTAGTTCCTTCCCAAATGTATAATATTCATTATTTTAAAAAATAAAAATGTTTTGGGTTATGACAGAAGCGCTCAAATTGAAAATACTACAAACAATTTATCCTTGAACAATGATCTCATGTTAAACATATTTGTGGAGTGATGTGGCTAGTGCCAGAAACTATAGCAGCATAAAGCGATGACGCTTTCCGTCAGTCTGGAGAAGAGATCAGCTGGTACACTGAAACAAACACACAAACAAACAAACACCACTCTTACCTCCAGTCTTCAGTAGAAGCTTCCACGACATTTTCACCACTTTAAATTCTATTTTTAGATACATGCTCTTTCCGCACTAAAAGAGCTACTCAAACAACTTCCGGTAAGCTCTGAAAAATATTTTTGGTGATGTTTATCTATATCCGCGTCCAATATCCAGATTGTACCACCGCATCTTTACAGTGCAAAGAAGGGGAAATCTTTCATTTTTTTGTCTGGTGATTATGCGCATTCAAGCAGCGCGAGTTGCATCATATGAAAGGGGTTCGGTCAAAGCTATGCCACCTGAAACATTAAGCTTAGATTATTCAGCATTAAGAACAGGTGATCCTCAAACTAAGTCCCATCTGCATGCATAGGAGCCAGAATGATCAATAAATTGATCGTACGAGAAGAGACTTGCAGTTTGAGCCATGATTGACTATCTCATTATTGTTTTTATTAAAATCGCATTGATTTCAACAAGTGATTCTCAAAGTGATAATCTGGTCCACAGATCCCCGATAAAAATGGTGGAACAAATCATATTGCATCTTAAAATGATGAAATGGGAGACTTAAAAGATGAACGTTTCGGTTAAAAGACGTCTGCGGCTGACAAGACAAAAGCAGAAAGACGTCCTTGTTTAAGATAACCAAAGACCGATCCACAAAACATGAACAATTTTAAAATGTAAAAATAAAATTAAAATATATTAGTAAATGAGTCTGGACACCGGTAGCCGCTGGAGTGAAGCGGGAGTCACGTTCATGCTTTACAATGTACAGTTTGAGAAGTAATCAAATAAACTATTTTACAATGTACAGTTAGAGAAGTAATCAAATAAACTATTTTACAATGTACAGTTTGAGAAGTAATCAAATAAACTATTTTACAATGTACAGTTTGAGAAGTAATCAAATAAACTATTTTACAATGTACAGTTTGAGAAGTAATCAAATAAACTATTTTACAATGTACAGTTTGAGAAGTAATCAAATAAACTATTTTACAATGTACAGTTTGAGAATTAATCAAATAAACTATTTTACAATGTACAGTTTGAGAAGTAATCAAATAAACTATTTTACAATGTACAGTTTGAGAAGTAATCAAATAAACTATTTTACAATGTACAGTTTAAGAATTAATCAAATAAACTATTTTACAATGTACAGTTTAAGAATTAATCAAATAAACTATTTTACAATGTACAGTTAGAGAAGTAATCAAATAAACTATTTTACAATGTACAGTTAGAGAAGTAATCAAATAAACTATTTTACAATGTACAGTTAGAGAAGTAATCAAATAAACTATTTTACAATGTACAGTTTGAGAAGTAATCAAATAAACTATTTTACAATGTACAGTTTGAGAAGTAATCAAATAAACTATTTTACAATGTACAGTTTGAGAAGTAATCAAATAAACTATTTTACAATGTACAGTTTGAGAAGTAATCAAATAAACTATTTTACAATGTACAGTTTGAGAAGTAATCAAATAAACTATTTTACAATGTACAGTTTGAGAAGTAATCAAATAAACTATTTTACAATGTACAGTTTGAGAAGTAATCAAATAAACTATTTTACAATGTACAGTTTGAGAAGTAATCAAATAAACTATTTTACAATGTACAGTTTGAGAAGTAATCAAATAAACTATTTTACAATGTACAGTTTGAGAAGTAATCAAATAAACTATTTTACAATGTACAGTTTGAGAAGTAATCAAATAAACTATTTTACAATGTACAGTTTGAGAAGTAATCAAATAAACTATTTTACAATGTACAGTTTGAGAAGTAATCAAATAAACTATTTTACAATGTACAGTTTGAGAAGTAATCAAATAAACTATTTTACAATGTACAGTTTGAGAAGTAATCAAATAAACTATTTTACAATGTACAGTTAGAGAAGTAATCAAATAAACTATTTTACAATGTACAGTTAGAGAAGTAATCAAATAAACTATTTTACAATGTAGAGTTTGAGAAGTAATCAAATAAACTATTTTACAATGTAGAGTTTGAGAAGTAATCAAATAAACTATTTTACAATGTACAGTTTAAGAATTAATCAAATAAACTATTTTACAATGTACAGTTAGAGAAGTAATCAAATAAACTATTTTACAATGTACAGTTTGAGAATTAATCAAATAAACTATTTTACAATGTACAGTTAGAGAAGTAATCAAATAAACTATTTTACAATGTACAGTTAGAGAAGTAATCAAATAAACTATTTTACAATGTACAGTTTGAGAAGTAATAAAATAAACTATTTTACAATGTACAGTTTGAGAAGTAATCAAATAAACTATTTTACAATGTACAGTTAGAGAAGTAATCAAATAAACTATTTTACAATGTACAGTTAGAGAAGTAATCAAATAAACTATTTTACAATGTACAGTTAGAGAAGTAATCAAATAAACTATTTTACAATGTACAGTTAGAGAAGTAATCAAATAAACTATTTTACAATGTACAGTTAGAGAAGTAATCAAATAAACTATTTTACAATGTACAGTTAGAGAAGTAATCAAATAAACTATTTTACAATGTACAGTTAGAGAAGTAATCAAATAAACTATTTTACAATGTACAGTTAGAGAAGTAATCAAATAAACTATTTTACAATGTACAGTTAGAGAAGTAATCAAATAAACTATTTTACAATGTACAGTTAGAGAAGTAATCAAATAAACTATTTTACAATGTACAGTTAGAGAAGTAATCAAATAAACTATTTTACAATGTACAGTTAGAGAAGTAATCAAATAAACTATTTTACAATGTACAGTTAGAGAAGTAATCAAATAAACTATTTTACAATGTACAGTTAGAGAAGTAATCAAATAAACTATTTTACAATGTACAGTTAGAGAAGTAATCAAATAAACTATTTTACAATGTACAGTTAGAGAAGTAATCAAATAAACTATTTTACAATGTACAGTTAGAGAAGTAATCAAATAAACTATTTTACAATGTACAGTTTGAGAAGTAATCAAATAAACTATTTTACAATGTACAGTTAGAGAAGTAATCAAATAAACTATTTTACAATGTACAGTTTAAGAATTAATCAAATAAACTATTTTACAATGTACAGTTAGAGAAGTAATCAAATAAACTATTTTACAATGTACAGTTAGAGAAGTAATCAAATAAACTATTTTACAATGTAGAGTTTGAGAAGTAATCAAATAAACTATTTTACAATGTACAGTTAGAGAAGTAATCAAATAAACTATTTTACAATGTACAGTTAGAGAAGTAATCAAATGAACTATTTTACAATGTACAGTTAGAGAAGTAATCAAATAAACTATTTTACAATGTACAGTTAGAGAAGTAATCAAATAAACTATTTTACAATGTACAGTTTGAGAAGTAATCAAATAAACTATTTTACAATGTACAGTTAGAGAAGTAATCAAATAAACTATTTTACAATGTACAGTTTGAGAAGTAATCAAATGAACTATTTTACAATGTACAGTTTGAGAAGTAATCAAATAAACTATTTTACAATGTACAGTTAGAGAAGTAATCAAATGAACTATTTTAAAATGTACAGTTTGAGAAGTAATCAAATGAACTATTTTACAATGTACAGTTTGAGAAGTAATCAAATAAACTATTTTACAATGTACTGTTTGAGAAGTAATCAAATAAACTATTTTACAATGTACAGTTTGAGAAGTAATCAAATAAACTATTTTACAATGTACTGTTTGAGAAGTAATCAAATAAACTATTTTACAATGTACAGTTAGAGAAGTAATCAAATAAACTATTTTACAATGTACTGTTTGAGAGGTAATCAAATAAACTATTTTACAATGTACAGTTAGAGAAGTAATCAAATAAACTATTTTACAATGTACAGTTCGAGAAGTAATCAAATAAACTATTTTACAATGTACAGTTCGAGAAGTAAGGCAATAAAATACTTGGTTATTTTGAATGCTTAATTCCATTGTTTCCCTATGCAAAAAATCATCCGATATTTAGGCTTGGACACCACCGAAAAAAATGGTTTTAGTCAGGGAGGAAATGCAACGTAATTGTGGGTACCGACTGGTGTAATGGTGGGCTACCCCTGGCGTAATTGTTGGCTACCCTTGTTGTGATGGTGGGCTACCTCTGGTGTAATGTTGAGCTACCCCTGAGGTAAAGTTGAGTTATCCCTGGTGTATAGGTGGGCTACCCATGGTTTGATGGTGGGCTACCCCTGGTGTGATGGTGGGCTACCCCTGGTGTGATTGTGGGCTACCCCTTTTGTGATGGTGGGCTACCCCTGGTGTGATGGTTGGCTACCCCTGGTGTGATGATGGGCTACCCCTGGTGTGATGTGGGCTACCCCTGGTGTGATGGTGGGCTACCGCTGGTGGGATGGTTGGCTACCCCTGGTGTGATGGTGGGCTACCGCTGGTGGGATGGTGGGCTACCCCTGGTGTGATGTGGGCTACCCCTGGTGTGATGGTGGGCTATCCCTGGTACAGAATACCATGAAAAATATCATTCGAATCCTCGTGATTGGCCAAGTAACAACGAGTTGAACTTAATAAACGCCTCCCCTGCTTTACATCACGTGGTCATCTTTGGCGATTTGTACGTAATATCTGATACTCTCATCTGTAGGACAGTGAATGGGGGAGGACATTCCCACCACCGGGGATGGGGATTTAAAAAAAAATAATTTTGAGAAGAAAGCAGTAGTTTTCATCAACGGCAACGAACCTTGTATTGCGGATAGAAGTTTGGGTACATCTCACTCGACAAGATGATAGTTTTACACGGAAATAGTGTACATTTGTTTATTGTAATTGGCCAATATTTGATGTTTGTTCTCTATTTGTTGTAGATAAGTCAGAAACCGATTATGGCGTTAGAAATAACAACAACCGGACCTGGCTGGTTTAATGAGGCCTCTGTCCTCTTTTTGGTTTTTGTCCTCCTCCACCTTGCATTTAGGCATGATAATTCAGATTGTGTCCACATCACATCCTTTAACCCCTAAAATATCCGAGCTCCCT